AAAACAAGGGACCAAAAAAAAAAAAAAAAAAATCTGCAGAATAAGTAAATGATTCCATCTGAAAGTGTTCTTAGTCTCTCTCCAGTGACTCATCATTTTCAGTATATTCTTGTCTCTCTCTCTCTCCAATCTGTCTCCCTTCCTGTAGCTATCTCTCTCTCTCTAGACAACAAGATCACATCTGTGACATTGCATGTGACAACCAATGCCACACTCGTAACCCCCGCCAGTCTAAATGGGACAGATGGGGCGGATCTCTGTCTGTCACACCTGTCACCTGCTGTTTCCAGTGTTGAGAGGTGAGATACTATGCTACTCTCTGACTTGCAAGCTTGCATTAAAGAAAGACTAATGCCCTGACTTCCAGGAACCTGCCAAGTCGTTCACTGTTCAATCGTATCCGAGGGTAATGCGTGAGGAATCAAGACTGATGGCTTGTTCTGCAGTCTGCTGCTAGTGTTTCCCTGCCATGAAATGGGAAAGTGTAATTAAAATAATTCAGAGGTGTCGAGGGTGAAGGTATTGCACGATCACAATGATTTCCTCCAATTAAATGTGAAAAGTCATGACCTTGAGGATTTGATGAGTGAATGATGAATTATGGGTCTATTTTAAATTCTATAGAGCATTATCTCCCAAAGCCTTTGTCGTTTATGCTTCATGAAGAAACGAATGCCTTGTCACTGAGGACATGGATGGCTCTTCAGGTAATATCACCTTAATGGATCTGTAAAACCATATAGCAAACCCTACTCCATTTACATAACACCTTGATAGAGAGGTTATTATTTCTTTGATGCATCAAAGGTTTGTGGGATAATGACTCATGAGTTAAATTTCCACCATCAGGATCTCTAACCAAATGGCCTGGATTCAATGGTCACAGAACTTTATTAGGAATTTTAAAGGGTTAATAAGACTACTGGTAGGATTTAATTTCTCCTTTTTTAGACTTTATAGGTACTTCAATCAAAGAGGTCTGGTCTAGGTCATGTTCTGCTTTTAGTAAATGAGTTTGGAAGCTAAAACTGAGCCTTTAAAGTCAACATGAAACAACATTTGCAAACTTTACTTTCGTAATGGGACACATTTCAGAGTAAAACAGAATATATATAAAATAAAATACAGAATAAACTAGATTTTACCCATCAGAAATAGATTGGATTGTAAATAAGCAGGGAATTTCATCTAAGAATAGAGCCAGACATAATTTCAGTTTGCAATAGATAATGAAGGACTACTAAAGCTGCATGCACTTTTTGAGGAGACATGGAAATAATTTTGATATATCCCAATGGTAACACTTTTTCAAATCTATTGTCATTTATTATTGCGGTGACCTTTATTACATTAACTGGAATCAGGAAGGTTGCACTACCACTAACAGTATCTAAAACAATGACTAAATATATTACCGTTCAAAAGTTTGGGGTCAGTAAGAAATTAATACTTCTATTCAGCAAGGATGCATTCAATTGTTTACAAGTGACAGTAAAGACTTTTACATTTTTACAAAAAAATGCTTTTTCAAATAAATGTTGTTCTTTTAAACAAGGGGTCTCCAAACTCGGTCCTGGAGGGTCAGTGTCCAGCAGAGTTTAGCTCCAACTTGCCTCAGCACACCTGCCTAGAAGTTTCTAGTATGCCCAGTAAGACCTTGATTAGCTGGTTTGGAGCTAAACTCTGCAGGACACCGGCACTCCAGGACCAAGTTTGGAGACCCCTGTTTTGAACTTTCTATTCATTATAGTGGTTTTCAGTCCTGGTCCTGGGGACCCACCACTCTGCACATTTTGTATGTCTCCCTTATTTAACACATTCAGATTGTCTCCCTCACATGGTGATTCAGATCACCAGCTCATTCGGTGAGAACTCCATGAACTCAGCAGAGTGTGTCAGATAAGAGAGACATCCCTAGGACATCCACGTCCCTAGGACCAGGATTGAAAACCACTACATTAGAGAACCACAGGTTCCACAAAAATCTTAATCAGCACAACTGTTTTATTAACAAGAAATGTTTCTTAAAGTCCCCCTGTAGTGAAAATCAAGTTTTTTATGTTGTTTATTTGTCTATGTGGTGTTTTTAATATGCTTTTAGACAAACCATGTGCCACTCTATTAAACAACACCATTGCAGTGTATTTTCTCCTTAAAACTGTAGTTTCCCAAAGGCTGACCCAGAAATATGGTTTGAAACAGCCCTTGGTTTGCTACGTCACAAACCAATAACGTCAAGGGATCGATTCCTATCACTAGCATGCAAAATATACCAATACCAGCACAAAACCAAAAATAAATCAGAGCAAAAAACCCATGAAGCTGTGGTTTAATGTGAATTTAGAACCGTTGACTTGCATTATAACCCGTGGCAACAGTGTAAAAGTAGC